AGCACCAGCAGAATGTAAAATATTCATTGAATATAATGAAGATAGTTCAAATAACAATTTTGATTTATTTAGGCCGTTTATTTCATAAGCAAACCAATTTTTAGCATGATCGAATAGTGTAAAAAAAAGGGTGACTATAGTTCAATCCTACTAAGCCAACCTTCGGCTTCAGTAAGCCACCGGATTTCACCGGACCAAAAGCAATTTTTATATTCAAATTAACAAAAATAATTTAATAATACATAATTCTATTAATCATTATTAAAATTAAATAGAATTACTACAATGTTTTAAGCATATTAAATCAAGTAAATATCTCATTTAGCTTGCTCGTTAAAATCCATGCAATTTCGTAAGCCAACAATCCAAGCACGACAAATAGCCCGACCGATAGATCGATTAGTCCTATTATTCTAGTTATGTGGTTTGGAGCAAGGGGAGACATTACTGAAAATAATTAAAAGTTGAAAAAATTGAGGTTCTTTGCATATCTCTGCTTCAACCCATAAGAAGGTGTTGTATGCTGGTAAATAGGCCTCCCCTTGCTTTGTACCCGTTGAGAAATGTTATAGTTCAATTTCTAAAACTAAATAGATCTACCCACCGGTTATGAAGTAAAAATTTAAAAAAATAAGCGGTTTTTTGAAGAATTTTAATTTTTAAATGTCAATGACTTTAAAATTGAAAAACATGAATGAAAAACGTTTAACGAAGAAAAGAATAATCCAAACAACATAATGTTATAGATCAATTTCTAAAACTAAATGGATCTATCCGCCGATTATGAAGTAAAAATCATGGAATTATATAACTGGAAGCGCCCTACCAGCGTTTTAACATTGAAAATTTTTTTCAACGGCAAGTTACCTCTGGAAGCAAGTTTCTAAAAATTAATAATTTGTTTCAAAAGTGAAACTATCTTTTTAACAGATACGTTTAAAATTTTGTTACACATTTTGTAATGTATCATATTTTTATAACTTTATAGAAGTTTTGTGGTTTTTCTAGTAAAAATTGGTTTAAAATTTTTATTTTTAAACTGTTTAAACTCTCTTTAAACTGTTGACTATAAATAAATATTGCTGGAAAAACCACTTTGCCGTCTCCGAGATTACCCCACTTTACCTTATTCATTAATTAATAACTCAAACCAAGACTATCGGTAAAATATCTTAATTTAAATTTTTTTCAATACTTAGATCCACAACAAAACGATATAAAAAGTAAACAGAATCTACCATCAAATAATCAAATAATGAATGGAAAACCCGGATCACTATTTACTATTGTGTGTAAAAATTAACTTAATTGGAAAGGTTAAAAAAGGTGTATAAAATATATATTTATAATATAAAGTAAAAATTCATCAAATATGGGAAATATGTAGTGTAAATGTAAACGTATATTAATATACACTTCTGCTTTCCGCTAAGATAAGCTGGAATAGAAGTCTTACACCATGGATGTATATATCCGTGCCTTACACTTATATTCAACAGCTTAGGTTCAACGGTATTCAGGCTTTTGAAAGCGTTCCAATTTGAGTAAAATATCTTAGCCTATTTAGAAACTGTTGTGACAGTCGTAAGAAGCTAACGAGCGACGAGATAAGAAATAACATTATCACATGGGTATATATCCATGGTTATTTCACACGCAGCCTTGTGTGGTCTGGGGTGTGCAGTGTTGATTTACGTGTATTTCCATACACTGTGCGTTTGTCGTTGTTGATGTTGTTGTTGCTGCTGCTGCTATTGTTGTTTATACCTGTGAAATACTAGAGACGATTGTTATGAAATAAAAAAAATGTTAAAGGCACTTGGATTTGCATTGAACTGGAGACGTCATTAGCAATTAATTTAGAAAAATCTTTGACCATTTTCTAACCGCGGTAACACTTGACGTTAGGTCTCTGCGTCATCACCAGAAACTCTGAAACCACTGGTGAATCGTCTGCCACACCCCACCCCTCCACCCAACTTGTGATGAGCATTCAATCAATGTTATTGTCGGACTGATAACTCTAAGTAGTACAATATGAGAAATGGAAAGCCAAAAAATGGGAGAAAAAAGTAAGAGAGAGAAAAAGAGAGAGAGAAAAAGAGAGAGAGAGAGAGAGAACCAAGTCAGTCTGAAACATTTGCAGAACTGGACATTCTAACAATGAAATTTTATGAAATAATGAACTAATAAATAAACAAAATAATTAATAAAAAAATAAAACAACAATAATAAAGTTATTATAATCTATCTGAGAGGCGATAATCTTGAAAATTTTAAATGGATAAACTGGAAATTGTAGTAGTAGTAGGGAATAGGTATAAGTTACTAATTATTATTACATTATTATTATTTATATTATAATATTATTGTTGTTATTAATATTATTAATAATAATAACAACAACCAAATAGTAAAAATCATATAATCAGGCGACAATCAACAAAGGCATAAACACGCGTGATATATGGCGAGCACAGAGCAATCATTCAAATCATTAATGTTCAGCACACGGTCAAGCTTCAGAGAGGCAGAGGTCAAAGGTCAAAGTAAAGGTCCACTCCCACCAAATGTTTAACGTATCGGATTTTTAGTTGAAAATGATTCTCAGTTCTTTTGTTATGAAATTACTCTCGTTTTACGATGCATTGTAGGATCCCTGCTCTTGTGCAAGTTTAACTCATTCTACGTTCTACTGCGTTACGCGTTGTTTAATTTCTCGGTGGGAAGTTTGCTTTCTTTCGATGAACCGATGATGATTTTTATTTTATTGAAATTTCTCCAACAACCAAAATAATAAAATTTTCTCTTCAGTACTTTAACCATCTTTAACCATCGTGCGGTGACGTAATGTTTAATTATTAAGTTTGTTGACAGTTTCGATAATGATTTCTGCTGTAATTATTAATGTATTTAACGAAAGAAGTCAAACAATACAATTACTGTCGCTACTCAATACAAAGTAGAATATTATTTTATTGCTAAAATTTTGGCTACTACCTAACCCACTACAAAGTTAATTTATAAATAGGTACGATTGTTGGTGGAGGCCATTGCTAAAAAGACGCAAACTGCTGTTACTCCTACTAAACAGCGAGATACTTAAATGGTGTTAGGGAATGATAGTTTGATCATTTTACTATGGAGGTAATAATGTTAATTGAGAACGAGAATATGAATGCTGATATCCATGTGTGGTCATTCATTTGACTGAATATTCTAATGCAATAGGCTGTTGTTATTGCGATACTGTTACATAAGCAGGTAAGTGCTTATACGTTTAAGCCAGGCATTAAATTAATGCATTGTTGCCTTTGCTTTTAAGGTAGGTACATAAACATATTTATTTAATTTTACATATACATAACCTCTGTCCTATATTTATATTTATATATATATATACATATATTTATTTATTTATATAACAATATAGGACAAAGGTTCAATGACCAATAAATCAGTTTATTATATCAGCGATAACTGGCCGTTCATTCGTTTCAAAGCAGGTTCATCAGACAAAGGTTAGGTCTCTTCTTCAAAAGTAAGGTCAATCCTTCTCAGTCTCTCTCTCCCTCTCTCTCTCCCTCTCTCTCTCCTTCTCTCTCTCTCTCCTTCTCTCTCTCTCTTTCTCTCTCTCTCTTTCTGTTGTTTTTTTCATTTTTCTCTTTTTTTCATTCTTGTTTTTTCTTTTCTCTTTCTCCACGTTTTTTTTATTAGTTGCCATCGACTCCCATCGACTCTCCTATTCATTATCTCCTTCCTCCTTATCTTTTTTTCTCTTGCGTACCCGACTTTGTATCATTGAAATCTCGCTTGATGGATCATTTCATTGATACGTACACACACACACACACACACACACACACACACACGAACGCACGCACACACACAAATATTCACATATATCATAAGTTAATGCGTATAGTCGAATATAATAAATTTTAATTTTATTTTGTAAAAAATCAACAGTCGTTTGTTAGATAATGATTTAAAAGTGATGAATACACATAGTTCTTTGATTAAATAATAAGCGTATGAACAAAATATACAAATAATCATATAGACAAACAAATCAACAAACAAGCATAACGCAAGTAAACAAACAAGCAAATAACAACACCAACAAAAACAAACAAACATACAAACAAGTAAACAAAGGAACATAAAAAAAATAGACATGCATACGTGAAGCCGGGACGACGAAGAATGCACACAATTGAATGAGAAATGTTTGGAATGGACGATAAAAAAGAAGAAGATAAGCAAACATAATCACTACCACCACTACAAACTGCAATTTTTGAGGTCAAAAAAACTTGAACTTCTGTAATTTACCGTCTACAAGGTCATAGCATCTCTGCCACTAAAGTGTCAATCATTGATTTGTGTGGGCCAATGAAATTGCAGAATGTAATTTGCGGGCGTGGAAAGCGCAAGTAGACTCCACCCGGAGAGTAAAGGTGATAGCCTATTGTGAATATGTGCGTGGAGCTAGGCTAGATGTAATTAGATGAGGTCACACGAACTGCAACAGTAATTTTTATTTAACTATACTACATTATCTCCCATTGTTGGAAGTTTTTCACTATAAATATCACTTATTAATTAATCTATGCTAACTTTTGAAATATGCACAATTAATTTTATTGATGATAATATTAAGAGGCATTATTTCTATAATGTAAAAATAAGAAATTTTCTAATTGGCTGTTATATCTATTGTCATTAAAAGTCATAAAGATTTAATTAATTGTAAAGTTAAGTGAATAATGAATGATAATTAATAATTAAAGATGGCCTCGTAAGAAAAAAATTGTAACATTAAACGGAATATTTATACAAAATTTTTGTTTATTTAATTATTAATCATTGATTATTTATTTATGATCAGCAACACTACAAGCATCTCTGATGCGCTTCGTTTAATTAAATTTTACATTTGAAAAAATATTTTTAAATAATTTATAAATTCGACGAAATATTTTGATGTATGGATTAATATGGAAACGACAGTGGAGAAAAAACACTCAAAGACATTAACGGCATTAAACAACAGCAACAGTAACATAAATTACAATTCGTGTGATGAGACCAAAGTATCGAACGACCAACAGCAACTCGTCGAATGCATTGTGTGTGGCGACAAGAGTTCTGGCAAGCATTACGGCCAGTTTACGTGCGAGGGCTGCAAGAGCTTCTTCAAGCGTTCAGTTCGTCGCAATCTGACGTACACTTGCAGAGGTAGTCGGAACTGCCCCATCGACCAGCACCACAGAAACCAATGTCAGTACTGCAGGTTCAAGAAGTGCATCAAAGTTGGCATGAGGAAGGAAGGTTTGTTCATCTGCCTCACCTCTCATCATGCAAATACTTGCTGGACATGTTTAATGTATCTATCTATGTAACAACAACATTTAGGAATTACTTATTCAAATTTTTCATTTAACATTAAATTAATGTTTCATTTATTTAAAAAACTGTTTGGATAAAACTTACTTGAACTAACTCAATCAGATAAATTGGTTATTATATTTTAATTTGTTTTGAAACAATTGAATTTAAAAGCCGTTCAGAGGGGAAGAATCCCGCCATCGCAACACCAACAACACCAACTCTCACAGCAGCATCCAGTCTTTGCCACCCATCAAACATCGAACCCCTACCAAACACACCATCATCATCACCAAATGCTGGCCTACAATAACAACAACAACAACGGCAATCCTCTCTGTCCAACAACAACTGCAGTCACACACTTTCATCACGCATCAGACAGACTGGCTGTTCCTTGCAGTGTTCCGACAAGTTCCACCTATTTATCTAGTTTCGTTTCGTTATTATTAAGAGCAGAACCGTATCCGACCGCGTTTGCCTCAATTACAAATTGTTACAACAACGGGCACGCAATAACAGCAACAACACCGTTACAACATCACAACAGCAACAAACTTCAACAACACCACTACCAACAATCTGCCTACCTATCCTCTACACCACACCAAAACGGATTTCACAATTCGCCTAACAACAACAGCAGCAACAACAACAACAGCAACAACGTATTCAGCAGCAATCAAGTATTCAACGACAACAACAACAACAACAACCAGTTAATGGGCATTGAGAACATTTGCGAGATGGCTGCCAGGTTGCTGTTCAGTGCAGTTGAGTGGGCCAGGAACATACCTTTCTTTCCAGACCTTCAGATCTCCGATCAAGTGGCTCTGCTGAGGTTGGGTTGGAGTGAGTTGTTCGTCTTAAATGCTGCCCAGTGCTCCATGCCGTTGCACGCTGCTCCGTTGCTGGCAGCTGCGGGTTTGCACGTCAGTCCCATGGCCGCTGATAGGGTCATGGCTTTCATGGACCACATCAGGTCAGCTCTTTATTTTCATTCAACAATAGATTTGCGTGCATCGTAATTTATTATAAAAAATTGTTATATTTTTTGTTCGGTTAAATTATAGACACGTCTGTTTTTAACAAATCGTTTATTTGATTATTTTCAAAGATCATTTCAAGAGCAAGTAGAAAGGTTGAAGTACTTGCAGGTTGATTCAGCTGAATACAGTTGTCTCAAAGCACTTGTTCTTTTCAGCTCAGGTCAGTTTAATCTAGTCATGTATTTTATTTATTTTTCATAAGGCAAGCGATATTGTTGTTTAGAAGGCAAGTAATTTCATGAAAGGTTAAGATTAACTTGATGATTTTTGAACTCAAACTACACTGAGCAAACCACGATTGTTTACAAACAGATCTACATGAATAAAGTTTCAAAGAATGTTTTTAGTTATAAATAATTTAGAAACTAGACGAAGTTTCACAGCGAATTAAATTAAATTAACACTTTTCAACACGAATTTGTTAGGAATCAACGGTAACAAAAAAACAACTATAACAATCAATTTGAAATTAAATTATTTAAATAAATATATAAATTAAAAATCCTATCGTCTAAAATAACATCCAGCACATGAACATACATGCACACATACAGCTCTGCACACAGGCACACACATCGTTTACATTGTTGTAACAATGTGCACGATGTGAGCCACAAACGGCAACGCTATTTGCGTAGAAAGAAGTTGTGAGATATTTATGGTTGAGACCATCAATCAGCCAATCATCCTATCCTGTTCATTCACTCACTCATTCATTCGTTCATTCATTCGTTCGTTCGTTCATTCATTCACTTATTCATTCATTCACTTATTCATTCATTCATTCATTCATTCATTCATTCATTCATTCATTCATTCATTCATTCATTCATTCATTCATTCATTCATTCATTCATTCATTCATTCATTCACTCACTCGCTCACTCAATTATTCACTCATGTACTCATTCATTCTATACTTATTTAACATATTCCTCCTTTTTTCTTTTCATTTCTTTTTCATTTATTTATTCATCTGACATACATTTTATTTCCTATGAGCCTTTGAACGTATATTTGTTAAAAAAATTTAAATTATTTTCGGAGCGTTTTAAACCTTTAAAATATTTCACGAACGTTCTGCATTCAACGGTATCTACATGATTTAAATGTAACTAAATATTGAGAATATAACTTATGGATTTGATTTTTTTATTTCACATTGATGATGAATTTACAATCAAACTATCCGTCATTTTTTGAGAAAATTAAATTAAATAAAAATTAAATTAATAGAACGTAATCACACAAATGAAAACACTCGGCCAACGTGTTTAGTATGAGGCGGTTTTAGTATGTTTAGTATGAAAAAGCACACATAAACATATTAAAACCGCCAACAACCTCACAACCAGCTAAAGACATTACAAACAAACACACACAACCAACCGCATACAGACACCACACTCAAACACACGAACATTTGTCGTGTAAACATACCGTCATTGTTTGACGGAAACCTTTTCAAATATTAAAATAGGTACCTCGAGTTATTACCATGCATCTTTATTTATTCGTTTCTGTTAGTTTTTTCATTAATTCATTCAGTCGTTCATTAGTTCGTTCGTTCGTTCGTCGTTCGTCGTTCGTTCGTTCATTCGTTCGTTCGTTCATTCGTTCATTCATTCATTCATTGAGGAAGTCTACATGATGTGGAGCACAAATTTGAGACAACTATAAAAAGAGTTATGAAAGGCTGCTTGTCTATACGAATGCGTTACTTCTTTTTCTATTTATATCGATGTGTGGTACGTATGTGCAATTGTGCAATTGTGCATCTTTGTGTGTGTACGTGTGTGCATGCGTGTATGTGTAGTGTATATATGTGTGTGAGTGGGAGAGAGAAAGATGTATGTATGAGTAAAGAATGTAAGTATAAAATCGTGCATTTTTTATGGTATTTGCTTATTTGTGTGTGTGTGTGTGTGTGTGTGTGTGTGTGTGTGTGTGTGTGGTGTGTGCATATATGTATGTGTGGTAGATAGAGAAATGTGTAGCTGTAGTGAATGTGTAGTTGGTGGCTTACTACGTGATGTGTTGGTTCTGATTATGAGATGCATCAAAGTGTCATGTCAGATGAGAACATCAAACGAGTTTCTAATGAATAAATAGAAAAATTCATCCAACTTGCTTTGTTGTTTTTTATTCTTTCGTTTGCACGTGATTACGTTGTATTTTTCCAACTACTTAAAATAAACTTGAATCAGATTGATGTGAGATGCGATGTTACTTTGAAAAATTAACATTTGAAAAACTGTGGATATTTGTTTGTAGCACGTAGCATTCCTTCATTCACTCATGTCTGCATTATTGAGATGCTAACAATCCTTCTTTGTTAGACTTCAAAACATCCCCGCCATTCCGTGAACTTCTATGGCGAGATGGCATAAAGTGGGCAGGCACATCAGCTCAATTAATCATCTTCCAGGCAGCAACACATCTATAATATTCTTTTCCATCGCCGCCGACCTTGTTAATTAAAAAAAAATTTTGAGGGGTGTCAGTCGTAAAAAATTATTTTCAGGACAAAAACTTCAAATTAAAATATAACTTCCACGGTGGCAAGTTTCCTTTCTGATATTGTTAAAAATTGAAAACCTTGCTCATCTTTTAAAAAAAATTATTAAAAAATAAATAATATTATCATAATGTTGCCAAATCCTAAGTAACTAAAACTGAAAACTGTCGCAATGTGTACCATTTGAAGTAGAAGAGAAGTAATTGAAGACTAAGAAAAACAAACCACGCACGAAAATGTTGTTAAAATGGCTGATATTCCATATTAAAACTCCATTTACAAAAATTATTTCGCTAATGCATAAAAAAAGAAACCTTGCTATCAAATTATTTTATAAATAATATAAAAATTAATTGTTTTAGTTCAATGCAAACGCCATTAGCACTACAAACAAGAAATACACCGCACCATGCCACACCACGTCGCGCCACAACACACCACAACACACCACAGCACATCATACCAGACAGATACCACATAACATCCCATATGAAGGGAGGAGGCACATTTTGATGGCACGTGGACCTTAACAGTGAGGGCATTCTTGTGTCACTTTGTAGTTATGATGCATTTCTCTCTCTCTCTCTCTCTCTCTCTCACTCTCTCTCTCTCTCTCTCTCTCTCTCTCTCTCTTATATATATAAAACATCATAAGCATAGGAAAATTGCATCTTGATCTGTTTGTAAATTTGTGCCATTTTTTTATTTTTAAAGGTTACAAAACTACCGCGTTAAAAATTTTCAGAAATAAGCAAATTGCATTTTGTATTTTGGAAGATTGCATGCGTGTGCAGTGCATACATGCTTATATAAACATTTGTATCAAAAACGTACACATACACTCATACACACGCATGCACACACATATTTATATATATATATATACATACATAAACACTCATATTTTGTTAAAATACATTGACACTGTGAAGAGGGTTTTCTTTCTGAGGGTATGTACGTATGTGAAAAGATTATATGTGTCTGTACGTGCGAACGTGTCTACGATTTTTCGTTTGGACAGTCGTTTGGAAGGTTGACATTGTCGTTTCGTCAGTTAATTATTTTGGTGTTTTCGTCGTTAAAAGTAATCGTTTATTGATATTTTTTGGATAGATTAACATAATTAGATTTTTGAATAATTTTATATAAAATTTAGTTTGTAAAATTCATTATTTTAGTGAAATTTGATAATATATTGTCTGTAAATTGCTGTCACGTGATAGGAATTTCCCTGCTAGTAAGCGTAATTAATTATAATAATAAATTTAATAATGTCGTCCGGTAGTCGCTACTGTTGTACGAAGTGTACAATAAAAGTTCCAAGTAAAGATGTGTTGTCATGCACTTGTTGCAAGACTTTTGTTCACAATAAATGTGAAACTAAGGATGATGTTCTTGAAATTTTGGGAAGTGTTAAAGGTTTAAAATGGTTTTGTCAACGCTGTGTTGATTTGTCTCAAGATGTTAGTTCTTTGGCTAAGTCAATGGATGCGTCCAAAAATGAATTTGTTGCTCAACTAAATGAAATAAATGATAGTAACAGAAAAATAAAACTTGACGTTGATAGCATAAAAATGGTTGTTGACCATAACCAATCTAAACTTGATGAACTTGATCGTTTCGATACTGTTTTACGTGAGGAAATTAAAATTTTTAAAAACGAAATAAAAGAAACATTTTCTAGCATTGTCAGCAAGGAAGTTAAATTGAATGTTGAAGTAATTAGAAGTGATGTCAAATCAATCTAGAAAACTTTACAAGAAGCTAGTGATGTTAAAGAAAGAGAAACAAATTTATTGATGTTTCGTTTAGCTGAAAGTGATGATGATCGTTCCAATGTTTTGAAAATTTTAAAGCATTTGACAGGAGATGTTTCTGAAAAAAATGTAATCAAAATAATGAGACTGGGAAGGAAATGCGAAACTGTCGTTAGACCCATTTTGATAAAGTTAGATTGCGTTTTACTCAGAGACTCAATAATGAGAAATGTATATAAATTCAAGTCGTTAAAAGAATTTTCACATGTTGGACTGAACTATGATTTAACAAAGGATCAGAGGCAGTTATGGAGCGAGAAGAAAACAATCAAAATTTTTTGTTCAGAGTGAGAGGACAGGTAGGGAGATGGAAGATTGTAAAAATACAGAAAAAAAACAGTGTTAATATAAAATATGTCAAGAATTTAGAAATAAATGATAACAATGATAAAGACTGCAACATAATAAATCGTAATTTAACACTAGGTTTATTGAACATTCGATCATTGATTTCTAAAACTGATACGATCTATGATTTGATTCATGATGGGCTAGATATTTTCGTTTTAGTCGAAACTTGGCACCGATCATCGAATAACATTTCTGTTAAATCATCAATGCCACCAGGATATAGTTATGTTGATTTTTTAAGAATAAATGATCCTCACCATGGGGGTTTAATTATTTACTTCAGTAATGAATTTAAGTTTAAGAAAATAAATCTGCCAATATTTAGTTCATTTGAAGCACTTGCTGTTAAATTATTTATTAGCAACAAAGATTTTGTTCTATTAGCCCTCTACAGGATCAGTTTTAGTTAGTAATTTATTTATTGAAGAATTTTTATGTTTACTAGAAAATATCACTTCTTTTAGTTTAAATATC